CCTTGTCTATGGTTTGGTGTTGTTCCCTAATCCAGATCAGCTTATAGATATCAGAGCTGTCCAGATCTTCATGTCTAGGAATCCTATACCTACGTTGCTTGGGGACATCCTTCACTCATGTTACACTCGAACCATGAGAAAAAGAGGTGTTCTTATGTGCTGCACTCCTCTCCTGGGAAGGTGGTTTATTTCGCACCTTCCACAATCAGTTTTGAAGAACGAGCGGGGTTTGAGATGGTCACAGCGATTGATGATTCTTACACATGATGATATACATTGGTGCTCTCGGTCCAGAGAGGATGTCACTATCATTGATCGTTTCGGGAAGTACCCTAATGTTCCTTTACTTGGAATCATAGGAGGTATTACTTACAACCCGTGCCTGGCTTGGAGACAGTTTGGTTATGCTCGGAGGGACGGCCCTCATGACATGTTAATTCCTGACATAGTTTTTGACTTCGACAATGATGCACAAGGACTTCGCCAGAGATTTATCAGAGCTTGGAGGATGCCAAGTAGGATAGACAGCAAGACACTGGGGCACAAGAATTCCATCCCGTTGGAGCCTTATCTCAAGTGGGTACGAGCCTGCTCCCAGAAGTTCGTAATGCCTTATCCTCATGTTCTCCCTGTGATCAAAGAGCCAATATTGGAAGGAGAGGTGCCCTACACCATTCAACATCCTGACATGCCCACGTCCTGGGAAGAGATGCAGAAGAGCTGGATCCAGCTTAAGGAAGAACGAAATTCTCTTGAGACCAGTCTACATGCTAGTGAAAAGAAGATCTTGGAGCTCACCCGCCTACTGCACGAGGAAAGGAATCTCAACACCTACATTGCTCCGAAGAGGATGCGTAGTGTCTTTTGGGATTGATTTGCTTTTTAATGTGTGCCCATGAGGCTTTGATGTACTGAACAATTATTTCCTTAATGATAATGTGTTTTCCTTTTTGTCTACAACAAATTTGAACTTTCGAACCCTTGAATGCATTGCATGAACACATATCATTCATCATGTGCATAGAAGGTACTCTTCTTTTCAGGTTGCTTACTGTTCTTCACTGTTTATTTCAGCATCATGAACCCTGAATCATCTACCGAGCTGTCTATCAAGGCCCTTCAGGCGCAGAACGCACAATTTCAGGAGCTGATCATGGGTTTGGCTCAAGGTCAAGAAGAGTTGAAGGCTTTGCTCCTGAAGAAGGAGAAGAAGAAGAAGAGAACTGTTCTATTCAACACGGGCCGGAGATTTGGTAACACACTGCAGAATGAGGAAGCTGGCTCTTCTGTAGGCAAAGACAATCCCCAGGGGGAAGAGCTCCAAATCCGGTGGTCTCTGACAACGAGACTGATTTTAATGAGGAATAGTATCCTCCAGCTGAAGACAGATACAAGCAGTTGGAAGACCGTCTGAATGCCATGGAAATTCAACAAGTGCCTGGTTTGGATTTCGGAGACTTGGGTTTATCTTCTGGTGTGATCATCCCTCACAAGTTTAAAGCACCATCCTTCACCAAATATGACGGGGCGTCCTGCCCTAAGCTACACCTCAGATCCTATGTGCGGAAGATTCGGCCGTATACAGTGGACAAGAACTTGTGGATCCACTTCTTCTAGGAGAGTCTTTCAGGGACTCATCTCGAATGGTTCTATCAGCTGGATGGAACCAAGGTTCGTAACTGGGAGGAGTTGGCTACTGCTTTTTACAAGCAGTATCAATATAATGCCGACCTTGCTCCTACACGTACCCAACTCCAGGGTATGTCGCTAGGATCAGGCGAAGGTTTTAAAGAGTATGTGTAGAAGTGGAGGGACCTGGATGGAAGGGTGAAGCCACCGTTATCAGACCGTGAATTAGTGGATATGTTCTTGGGGACCCTCTCCAGGCCATTCTTCAATCATCTTATCGGTAATTCGTCTGCAGGGTTTACTGACCTCATTCTGACAGGGGAAAGGATAGAGGCTGGCATGAAGTCAGGAAAGATTCAGAAAGGTGTGTCTTCAAGTTCTGAGAAGAAACCTTTTAAGAAGGAGGCCAGTGCTGTGTATGGGCCTAGGAGGCAAGATAAACCAGAGCGCCGCCAATCTGTCAACACGGTGGTGATTGCTAAGCCTGTTGCCGCTCCTCGGCAAGTTAATCAACCAACGGGTGAGAGACCCAGAAGAGAATTCACTCGGCTGAGTATGACCTTGTCACAAATCTTGCGGCAACTGCTATCAACCAACTTGGTGACCGTCAGAGAGGCTCCGAAGGTTGTAAATACTGCCTCTCCTAATTATAATCCAAATGCCCATTGTGCTTATCACTCCGATAGCCCGGGGAATTCTACTGATGACTGCTGGGCCCTGAGAAATAAGGTGCAAGACCTTATTGATGCGAAGGAGATACAATTTGAGGTGCCTGAGAGGCCAAATGTGGTGACTGCTCCTATGCCCCAGCATGGAGTAAATGCCGTTGATGAAGACTTGTATGCCGTTTCTGTGAATGATGTAGCTACTCCTTTATTGACTGTTAAGAGGAACTTGCTGCTGGCCGGTTTATTTCCGGGTTGTAGCAAGGGTTGCCTTTTATGTGTTGTTACCCCTACTGGTTGTCCGTTGCTGAAGTTAGGCATCCAAAGCCTGATGGACAGCAAAGAGATTTTGTTCAAGAAGACCGTTGTTCCTTTTGTTCCTGTGGAAGAAGTATCTGTCATTACCATTTTCAACAATCCGATCAAGGCTCCCCCAAGGAAGCCAATTAAAATCATGACTGTCGCACCCATTGTTATTACTGTTCCGGGGCCCCTCCCCTATGAATCTGATAAGGTTGTCCCATGGCACTATGGGGCAGATGTATATGTACTTGGAATAAAGCAAGAGTTCAACACCGGTACCAGCATCAGCAATATCACTGGTCCAGCTAAAGTAACCCGCAGTGGCAGGCTCTTCTCGCCTGACAATGCGCCACCAGCTATTCGAAGACCTCTCATAATTACGCCTGCAAGTGCGCCTGTTTCCACTTCTGATCAAGTTGTTTCCCCCGCTGCCGAGTCATCTAATGCTCGGGGCAAAGGGATTGATGATGAGCCTGCCCGGATGGAGGCACCAAAGTATGTGAATGTTGAAGCCTCCCAGCAAGAGATGGAGGAAATTCTTAAGATAATCAAGAAGAGCGACTTCAATGTCGTTGAACAGCTGGGGCATACCCTGTAGCGATAAAAATGTAGCGGGGTAAATCGGAGATCGAATTATTGATTAATTCGTCTCACAAAAGCAAGAGTCGCCACCGCGCTTTATTGTTTCCAAAGGAAAAGGGAAAAGAGCGAAATAAAACCCTAAATATGCAATGTAAATAATACTGAAAATACAAAGCGTTTTTGAAAAAAAAGATCTTATGGTTCGGGGGTTGGTTATACAATGGGAAGGTATTAGCACCCAATGCATCTATAGTACTCTATAGGAACCTTTTGAAATATCTGTTTTATTTAAAATTGATCGCTTGATTGAAAATAAATCGTTTTGGCCGAAAAAGGGGTACGGACGGGTTTTTTGAAGATACGACGACCTAATGTCGAAGTTTTGGCTTAAAAGGTATAAGTCTTGAAAAGGTTGAAATTTTGAAGAAAGGGTGAATATTTGAGGAAAATTAACCTAAGTTTTTAATGAATGAGAGTATTCGCTCGATCGTTTTTTGAAGACATGAAGTCAACAAAAATTAGACTATTCCCTTTGGATTGGTGCAAACAGAATAAACAAGTACAATGAAATAATTGACAGAAAATGATACACAACAATTAAATGTGAACATGCATTTTTTATATGATTTTTGTTTAATAGGCGAAAAGAAAAAAGTTTAATTGGTTTTCACTTTTTTACGCATTTTTAATGATAAAAGGTAATGAGAATTAATAGAAGTGTTTTTTAGATTTTTATATGTTTCTATTTTTTATGTTTTTATTATATTGGTATTTAATCAAAATGAGGGGAATAAAATAAAAAATAAAATGTCTTTTAGTTTTCTCATTTTTTACTTTCATATGTTTTTTTAGAGATACTAAATATCTTTTTAAATTAAACTTACAAACCATGAATTTAAATTGAATTAGAAATAAGTAAAACTAAAATTATTAAATAAACATAAATTTAAACTAAATGAGCTTTGGGTAAATAATATTAAAATTATCTATTTAAAATTATATGTTATTCCTAAAAAACTAACTAATCTAAATTAATTAAGTTAAGAAAATGAAATAAAATTAACTAAAGAGTAAATAAAGATGGGGTGGATTATCAAAGAGAATGGGCTTAAGTGTAAGAAAAGAATTGAGCTGGGTTGAAGGAAAACGGAGCGGGTCGGGTCGTGGTAGGACCCAGGAAGAGAAACACAAAGCTTGTAACAAGAAAACCTAGGGAAACTGAAGGCACCATGGCCGCCGCCGCTGGATCGCGTCTCCTTCTCTCTTTGGTTCACAAATAATCCGCCCAAACCGATGAACAACAAACTCTCCGCGATTCTCACGAGGAAACAAGGAAATGGGTCACAGCGATGATAATGGAGATGGCGGTTGAGGAAATTGAAGAGCGGTTCGAAAGAGAAAGCGATTGGAAAATGGCTCGGTTGAATAGATCCGGTGGAGGTTGCAGCAATTCTCGGAAACTTATCAGATTGCAAAGTGTTGTTACACACATGCGCCCTCGATGGAGAGCGTTGACGGTAAGTAGGAAATAATGAACAAAGTTTTGTAGCTGAGGACAAAATGGGTTTGGTGTCGTTAACGGCTGAAGCTGGCTGCAAACGTCGCAAAATAGGCTTTAGCCACTGTATTCGCTTTTCTTTCCAGTTCATATACAGACTCGAGAATTGTGTATTTGACATTTAGAGATTGTAAGGTCTCTAAGGCAGTTCAAATCGTAGTAGCACAGGTATCGGCGAACCAAGAGTGGCTGTTAAAAGGCCAGCTCTTTCACGAGCTTTATGATCCAACACCTCCAACTTGAAAAGAAGACTCTCAAACATTTCAGGTATCAGAATAATCCTTTTCTTCATTAAACTCTGAAAGCCAATCCTCATCTTCATTGTCTAAGTCATACTCAACAAACTCTCCAATCTCGGCCCTAGCTCTTCTTGCCCGCAAATAGGAAGTTGGTTGAACGAAAGTACAAGAATAGTCCCTTTCAAATGTATCCACATAAACAAACTGAGGAGTGGGTATTTCAGAGGCCAGTTTCTTGCTGGGAGCATGTGGAACATGTGCCTCATGTTCGACCTCAGGAACAATGCGTAGCAATTGGGAATTACGGGTAGAAGTGGGTGTCTCGTCGTCTTCAAAGTCCTTGAAGGACTTGAGGATGGGGAGCTTCTTGTGAATGTCAAGTGGTCGAGGTCTGAAAGACAACCTACTCATTTCTACTCATCTATTCATTCCCCTTAAATTACACAATTTGAATCTTTTCAATGCCACCAATGTCTTCAACTGTTGTGGTTAAACCCGGATTAAATGCCTCTTGAGAAATACTATTGGAGAGACTTCCCTAAAGAAGTGATTTACCACACCATCAAATTGACAAAGCCTTTGACAGCCCCTGGTTCTGATGGCATGCCAGTTTTCTTCTACCAAAATAACTGGAAAGTGGTGTCTTTACAGTGATTCTCGAGGTTTCCAACAGGGGGGCTAACACTTAGATCTGTACCGAAATCAGTTTGAAAAGCAATGAAGATCCCTAAATAGTACTATTGCGGAATCAGAAACAAACCAGTGGGAATTGATTTGAGATCTAGATGCAGTTGTTGAAATTGTTATTTTCTGTTTTCACTTGCAGGTAAATGAAGCAAGGTAGGTTGATGCGAGATTGGAAGGAGATTATTGATTGAATCAGAAGATTGTGAAGATAGTGAAGATGGCTTTTTGTTCAAGTGGGTTAATGGGAGGAGGTTCGTTGTTTTCAGATGTCAGGACAACGAAAAGGATGAAGGCGAACCAAAGGAAATGGATATGGTGAGAAGCATATATTACAGCGAAGCTTTTGGAGGTAAGAAACATATTTTTTACTTTTATTGTATATTTTCCTCTTTCAAAATTAACAGTAACACGTCTTTGCAGTGGCAAGCAAATGAAACCCTTAATAACCATCCCCCCCCTATTGCAAAAGATGATGGATTATAGTGAAGCTGAAGCAAATATAACATCGAAATTAATAAAATGGAGTCATAAACCTGGTATGTTGAATTGTCCTTTGACTATGTTCTTGGTCTTTCTCTAACTTTCTTCCTGAACCTGAATTGCGTCTTCCGCATTTGTGTAGTGGCTGCTGGTTGAAACACTTTTCTCTCCTGTGTCTGCTTTGGTTCCACGAATTTTTATCTTGGCGCCAATTTCCTTCTCTAGTCGCTTTTGATTATCACCTCCAGACCCATATGTTAGACCAATGAATTTGTACCCAGGATGCTCTTGGACCGGTAAATATGGTAAGGTTTTTTTTTGTGATGAATCTGAAGAAAGCTGATGGTTGATGGTTTAGGCCAAGGTGTTTGTATGTTTCCTGGTTTGTTTATGTTGATCAACGGTTTATCAGTGTGCAGGTTTTTATTGTTTTTATGCTATGCAGAATGGTTTTGCAGTAGGTTCTGTGGTTTAGCAATATGCTATGGTTTTGAATGGTTTTTGGGATAATACTGTTTTTTATAGTTTTGGTACAGTATGCAGGTTATGCCATATGCAGTATGCAATATGCAAGTTATGCGGTTTGATGCAATAGGTAAGTTATGAAATATGCAGGTTTTAGCAATATGTAGTTTTATGAAAAAAATGCAGGTTTATGAAAATATGAATATGCAGGATGGTTTCTATCCTATGCAGAATGATTTTGCAGGTTAGGAAAATATGCAGAAAAATGATTTTGATGCAAATTATGAAATATGCAGCAAAAATGGTTATTGAATACGCAGGTTTTTAGAATATGCATGTTTATGAAAATATGCAGGTTTTTGAATATGCATGTTTTCAACAATATGCAGTTTTTTGAATATGCCCTGTTTTGAACATGCAGAATGGTTTTTATCTTGCAGAATGTGAATGGTTGTTAGATTAGTATGCTTGGAAATGGTTCAGCAGTATGCAGAATGGTTATGCCAGGGAGCCAAAAAAAGGGTGGTGCTTCCTAGCCTCCTGTCCCTGCTGGTTATGTCTTCCTTTTGAAGGGATTTCAAATAGCCGTTGCTTCTCTTTTTAGATGGCCCAGGTTTTTAGTATATTAATATATTTTTCTGATACTGCATATATGCTGCTGCATATGGTTGACTTTATTCCCAATTCATGCTTAAGTCAGAACCTGCAAAAATTGAACCTCTTCTCTCTCTCTCCCAAGTACAGAAATTGATATATATAAATGATATACTGTACATTTTTCTGAAATTGTAATGGGCTGGAAAAATGATGAAAAAGGAAATAGGTTGCTTGCATACATTGTTTAAAACTGCACATTGTTTGAAATTTCATATTGTTTTTTTGTCTTGCATTAGCCTATATTATTCTGCTATAAGGGTACAGGTTAACGTTGGCTTGTTGTGTACCTTGCATATGTTTGTTTGAAAAAAATGTATGCTGTGACTTATACTTATGCAGTTTTGACCAAAAAAGTGCATTTATGCATATGTGAAATATGCAGTAGGCTTTTGATAAAAATGCAAATGATTTTGAAAATGTGCTATTTTTTAATTATGCATTCATTTAAAAATTCCTCTCTTTTTTGTGAACCGGGAGAAATCCCGTGATTTGCAAAAAAGAGTAACTGATTCCGGCCATTGCTTTTAATGATGAACATTGAATTTATTTTCTGCATTTTAATTATTTATTCGAATTCTAATTTCTTTCTTTTGATCGTTTTTTTGCAGGTAAAATTTAAATGAGCAGACAAAGAGTATTGGACAGAAGATTAGAATTAGAATTTAGGAAAATAGTTTTATTTTACTTTAAGCATTTATGTAATGGTTATTATAAATACTTTGTACAATAGTATTTAAACAACAATTGTAATAAATAGAATAAAGTGAATAAAAATTCTATTATTTCCCAATTAATTCCTTTTCTTTCCAATTATTTATTTATTGTTTATAATTCCTTAAATCATATAATGATTGAAAATCAAATCCAATCATTTAAATTCAGAATGACAAACAAATAAATAAATATCATTGACTAATCAACAAATTCAACTATTTAATTCATTATTCGTAAAATTCCAAATTATAATAATTAAAAATAGAATTTTAATTATTTAATCTAAAAATGATAAAGAATTAAATAATCATTGTTGACCAATTAATAAACTCATTCTCAAATGCTTATTTCATTATTCATAAGTCTTTAAATTATATAACAATTGAAAAATAAATTCCAATTATTTAAATTTAAGATAATAAATAATTAATAAACGTCATTTAAATCTTGATCAGTTAATAAATTTAGCGTTCAACAAATAAACAGCTCCCGACTCGAAAAAGTTATGAATTTTTAAACTGCTTTGAAAATTTGATAAAATAGGTCAAAACTCTTGCAATGCGAATGATGCAGATGGAAGACGGTATCTTAGGTCAAAATTTGGGGTACAACAGCTGCCCCTATTTAAGTTCCTTCTATCCGGAGATATGAAGATTTGAAATCTTCGTTTCGACGAGATTGAAGGTACTTAAATACATAACTACGCAAATTTTGTCCTATGATGCCGTCATCATGCAGTGATATGAATGTAGTGCATGAATTCACAGAGAAAGATATTGTGTGAAACAAGACAATGTTGGGGGAATCGAACACCAACAAAACACAGCGGTTCGGATTATACATTACTGGGGAGACAAGCTATCGACTCCAAACGACAGACTCCCGACAGCGAATAAAATCGAGGGGAAACAACCTCTAACCCTAACAAAGAGAGCATCTTGCATAGGCTATAACAGATCATTGATCCAAAACAGTGAGTTCGCGACTCAAGGTCAATGGTAGACAGAGAGTATCAAATTGCTGATAACAGATTACCGATTCCTGAAGGTAATGATTCAATAAATTTTCTCCGTGAGACTTCCGGAGAGAAACCAATTAATGCTGCAGTAGTAAGATTGTAGATACGAAGGTTGTTCAAATAAAGAAAACTGCCAGTTGTTGGTGTCCAGAGAAAATACCGATAACAAACAAGTTGCTCAAATAAAGAAGCTGCCGCTTGTTGTCGTCCAGAAAAGAAAATATCGATAACAAACAGGCTGCTCAAATAAAGAGGCTACCACTTGCTGTATGCCCAAAGAAAATACCGATAACATACAAGCTGCTCAAATAAAGAGGCTACCACTTGCTGTCGTCCGAAGAAAATACCGATAACAAACAAGTTGCTCAAATAAAGAAGCTGCCGCTTGCTGTATTCCAGAAAATACCGATAACAAACAAGTTGCTCAAATAAAGAAGCTGCCGCTTGCTGTCGTCCGAAGAAAAGTAATAACGCACTGGTAACTCATGAAGAGTTTGCTGCTTGTTGCTTTCAGAAAAAATAAAATGACGCACTAGTAGCTCATGAAGAACTGCTGCTCGGCACTTTAGAAAAAAGTAAATGACGCACTAGTAGCTCATGAAGAACTGCTGCTCGGCGCTTCCCAAAAAGGATAAAAGACGCACTAGTAGCTCATGAAGAACTGCTGGCGTTTTCGACACGGTCATAACTGACGCACTAGTAGCTCATGAAGAACTGCTGCTCGGCGCTTTCGACACGGTCATAACTGACGCACTAGTAGCTCATGAAGAACTGCTGGCGTTTCAGAAAATAAATAACGCACTAGTAGCTCATGAAGAACTGCTGCTCGGCGCTTTCGAAAAAGAGGTAAATGACGCACTAGTAGCTCATGAAGAACTGCTGCTCGGCGCTTTCACAAATTAACGTACAAGTTGCTCGTGAAGAGCTAACGCTTGTCGTTTTCCAACATAATTCAGAAGGAAACTGCGATGATATTGGCAGAGAATAAAATCTTCGTCAAAGAGAACCCTGAATCAATCCTTCCCGAGGAGATCATATACTTTAACGTGCAAAATAAATGCACCAACCGTCTAGGTCGCAAATTCACTGGGGAAAATCAATGAGATAGCCTATGCAGGAGGCAACAACTTCATCCAGGAATAACCAAAGAGAAAACAGTCAAACAAGACTCTACCCAATGAGAAAGTAACTCGATTGGGGAATTTATCCTATCCAGAAATGGACAAGGTAAGCTGAATCAAAGATCATCCACGAGGATTAGCTCAGTTGGGGAATTAGAAAGGAGGCGCACTTTATGCTTAAGTTAACACCCTATTTGGAAAGATCAAATACGTTATTTGAAAAGACACAACCAAGGTGTACGAATTCAAAGACATCAACAGATACAACTGTGCGTGCATGATGCAAGTGCGAATGAATGTCATGAATGTCATGTATATGCTGACAAAAACAGATAGGGGAGACGGACAGAAGATGATGAAACATCACAGTACAACCCGACGCTCGGCTAAACTCAACAGGAGGGGAACATCACTGGAGATAGAAGACAAAAGCCAACAACGCTGTAAAATCCTTCTACAAGGC